CTGTGATCAAGCATTGAGGAATAAGTCAATCAGTTTTAGAAAAACGCGAGAGTAGTCGTAAGATTCTTCATTTATTTTCCCCCTTGGCTTTGGTTCAGCGGAGGTCTGGGCAAGATATTTGCTGTGATTATATACTTTTTCTTTGTTTGAATTTCTTAGAGCTAGTTAAACCCTTAGATAAACTTATCACAGAGGACACAGTCCCTCCTCTTTGTCTTCTTATCACGGCTCAACTTGTTCGTTTGGTCCCAGGGTCGACATGTTCCTCGCAATGACGGCCAAACAATGGAAGAGGATGATGATACTCATCAGTTCAGGGCGCGAAGTTTGTTGAGATACTTAGAGGTCACCGATGTAGCGAGAAGGTGAGTTTCAACCTTGAGTAACTCTTATTTCATTCAGATCGTCACCCAGCGACGATTATTCTGTCGTCACTATTTCAATGATGTATTTTTGCAACACGTTTTGACCTTATTTTCCAGATCTGTTCGCTACATTCCATTCCCAGACCGTCACGATCTGGCTTTATACGCGCGGTTGGCGGGAAAACCTATTGTAATGCTCCTAATTTTTTGGTTGCTTTCGCCCCACGCCTCTGCACGACTCCCTGTTGGCTAAAAGGAAATTTGAAAGACTGCTATGCAGGACACCTTTTCTTTTTCATTTCAGTTACCCTCCACAATTTTTATAAGTATGTAAAGATATAAAAAACACAAAGGTTTTTACAAGTAAACTGTTTTTTGGGTGGTACCACACTAAATATATACATATACTTTGTTCTAACAAAATGGGGGCTAAGAACGGCTCAATATATACTTGCTTGGAAATAAAATGATGCTGTTTGGTTTCACGTTAAAACATAACGTAAGAATGACGCGTGTCTGTTCAAATTGTGACAAAACCACGTCACAAAGTCAAGGCAAAACAGAAAAAAAGTAATTTTCATAACCAACTTGCAATCTCTTCATTATAGACAACAACAAAGTCCATTGGATCACTGCTTGATGGTGTAATTATCCTTCCACAGAGCACTGGCATTCATGGGTCATTTCCTTTATTTTTGACATTAGAACAGCTTTGGAATTTTTAGGTTTAAATGGGAGCTCGTAGAAAGTACAGATTTCCTTAAGCATGAAAACAGTAAAATATTTCAATTTTTCCTTCTTGACGTAGTCACACAAGTCATAAATTTCATAGACAATCGGATGCGTTAAGCCAATTTTTGTTACAACTGATTCGACGGTGGTCATGTGATTCACTTCTTCCTCGTCAATTGATTCCTCGTCAGATTTATCGTCAACCGCGGTGCTCGGAGATGGACCTGCCCGTCTCCTTCTCGAGGAGGACAAACGGGAGAAAAAACCTTATATTTGGGCTTTGGTTAGCCACTCTTCCCGGGAAAATAGGCGTTCCCCTTTTTCCCCCTTCGCTTTCCTCATATCTTGCGAGACTTGTCCTGGATCCTCTTTCCTTTCAGATTGTTCACCAATTTCAAACTTGGAGGTGAGATACTGCCTTATTTTCTCTGAAAAGCGAACAGCGCCACCTTTTGGATTGTGAAGTGCCCATCCTTCACTTAAACTCGCCTGGGAAGGTTCGTTACCCTGTCTCTTGATAACACTGGTACTGTCGTCTTCTGAAAGGGTAAGGGATATGAATTTTTCAACCCAGCCTCGTTTTAGTTTGTCGTACCCAATCTCTGTATGTTGTCCAACAGATCTGTGCAGCTCTATTTCTTCGACAGATTTGATATCCAGGCACATGCTGGTTCTGGGCATTCCAACACTAGCCCCAATTCACTGCTGCTTTCTGCATCACCACAGTCATGCGCGCTTCCGTGCGTTACTCTCGGAGTGAAGCCAAAATTCTCCTGTTCTGTTATGAGATCGGTGGTGCCTTGATGCTTCATGTAAATTTCATCCCACGGAATGAGTTTGCCAGGGCCAACTTGGAATGCCTTCCACACTCTGAGCCCATCTTGTTGATATGAAAAGTCGTGCATGGCACTGAATTGCTGGAATTTCTTGATATCTAAATCTTTCTTGGTTTCACTTACGTGGCATACAGCTGCGGTACATCCTTGAACTGGCCTTTCTTTGAGCGCCGTGTGCATATCAATGGCAGTGAGAAAGTCGTGGCCCTCGTTACAGTATCTCCTTATGGCACCTTTCAAAGGAAATAGGATTCTGTCGCATACGTCTTTTCAGACTGTGGCTCAGAAAAGTCGTATCTCGGAAGTGACACACCTACACGCTCTCCAACATCACGGGCGGCAACAATAAGCTGGCTATTGTAATAACAACCGGCTTCATCTGATTTTAGATAAGCCTTCTTTACCTTTGGAATTGAGGAGCGAACGGTGATTAGGAGACTCTCCAAGATGGACAGCACAGAGAACCAATCCTGTGAACAACTGTTGAATAGGTGGTTGTAGAAGGAAACGAAAAAAATTCCCCTTTCCATCACTCGTGATAGCACAGCTAACGTGCTAGTTCATTCCCCTCTTAGCATACCAATCGCACTGCTTTTCACGAAATCGCTCTGTAAGAACTTCATTGCCCAATCCATTACTATAAACACTGAATATTCTGTCAGGTTTTGTATGAAGCTTTGTTTTGCGATCTCTTGGCTTTCGAATTGGAGAATATGGCATTTCCATTCGTTGATGAAGTTGACGGACTTTCCAAAGTCATAAAGAAGATCATCATGTTGTTCTTTGGAGTACATCGAAGAGCAAAGTTCATTGATTTTTCCCTCCACGGATTGAAGAACAGTCTTAGTTTCTTGCAACTGTCACACTTTGATAAAAGGTCGTGCAAGCACTGGTGTTTGAAGTCTTCATCAAAGGGATCACTAAGAGCGAACTTCCTGCAGTGATCTGCACAACGGCTGTCTTCGTCGCGACAATGAACGCGATACTCAGTTTTTAGGCAGCACTTCGCCTTCATAAGGCGGTTCCTAACATCTGAACACCAATCCTTGCTCACTCTGTACTCTTCTTCAAGTTCTTCAACAATTCGGGTTATCCTTTGGAAACTTTCGGCACCGTCAGCGGATACATTGTCCAGCCCTTGCAAAGACTTACGCAGAGACGCTTCCCTCGCTTTAAGGACGCGGTACATCGTTGCACGACTTAGTGGTTGAAAGCCATCATCTTCACAAAATACCAAATACTGCGCAATCATAGTAGACCTAGTGACGGTACGGATGATGTTAGGCATCGCTAAACGTTCGCCACTCTCTAGTTTGAGGGTTCGTTGACCATAAGCAACATCTTGTAGAAATAAGGTCGGTCAACGAAGGTAAAAAAAGGGATCTAGTTCAATCATGTCTATGCGCACACGATGACTAATCGCTTTCTTTCATTCATCTTCGCTTGAAGTCTCGCTTTCTTTATTTGCCGATCACTTAGCTTCTCGAAAGGCTCGTGAAGTTTCTTTAGCTCCTCAGTCGAGTAATTCAGAACATACAGGCTAAGAATTTGAATTTTTAGATTCTTTGTCGGTGCATTCTTGTATGCTGTTGTTAATGTGAGTATGCCGTGTGAAATCCGTTTCTCTGTTGCCGTTACCCGGGCCTCGTAAAGCTTGTCCGGATCATTTGGAGCGATTACACCGCATACCAACCGACAAGACATCTCGGCTGTTTTGAGACAGTTTTCTTTCTCATTACGCGTTGCAACTTCCCAACGTTTCGTTAACGGGGCCTTCAGTGGCTGGAATTTTCCTTGGGATATTTTCTTCATGGTTTCGTTGCACATTTTGAAGTTTTCTTGCTGAGATTCGGAGAAAACTTTCCCCGCTGACCATTGACCTGGGGTCCACGACGGATCACGAAGTTTATGAGGTGTGGCCTTGATGTCATGAAAACAACCACTGGGCAAATGCATGGGATGCAAGCGTTCTCTGTTAAAAACAATACAGGTGTGGTTGGACAACAACGGTGTTTAAGGAGGCTCGTAGGGTTTGTGAAACGATTAAAGGTTACAAGAAAAGAGCTTTATCGTGTGGGCAAACTATAAACATCTTTGCAACTATATTGTTGGGCAATACTTTAAGGGTACTTGTGACGTCATATCGGTTACCATGGCAAGACGTAAGGTCCACAAGCAGACACTCATATTTTCAGTTATTGTAAATTATCTGAAAAACTAAGTCGGTGACCTACCATTTTTATTTCTTTGTAGGAAAGCTCCAGAAATCCTTTAACTTCTCAGACAGCATGACAAAAAGTTATCTCGCAGATTTTAAGAAACAGCGAAAAAAGGCATTTTATGGTTTACAGAAAATTGTACTAGATAGCTTTTCCCGAAACTTTTCTGTTCGAAATGCCATCATGAATGATGCGTGCAAGCCAAAAAATGACAGGTACCCGGACAAAATAGAAATGTTTTCCGCAAATTTTATTTC